GGGTGGGACTTGTGAGACAGCAACTCAGCCAGCCCCCATTTAGGAGGGCTTCTCAGAGGAGGAAACATGGGAGCTGGGACTTACTGGAAAGAAGAGGAAGATTTTGCCAATAGGAAGATGGGAGAGTAGGTTTGAAAGGACACTCTTGGCATGTAGGAAAAGACATTTGGGCAGCATGAGATTATGCAAAGGCAATTACTGATAATAGGAAGAAGTCAGGTTTCTGGGCACAAATGGAGCTGGACAGATAAATGGGGGTTAGATTGGATGCTGAGCATCAGTCTGTTTCTTTATCTTCTGGGAAGCCGGGCAGCTGAGAGAGAGCAGAGAGTTAGCCAGAGGGTTTTAAGCAAGGGAGTGGCATGGCTGGAGAATTTTCTTTTCTTTTTAAAGATCACTTCTGGGAATCTACAAGTGTTATTAGAATGTACTCATCTCAGAGCTGGGGGCTCATCGGGTGAGCACAGGGATTCTGTTCTCAGGCATTAATTGTTTTGAATTCAGTGTAAAGTTGAGTGTCATCATTCTATTCCCTATGAATAGCAGGTATCTGAAAATTGGGAAACATATAATAAGCTTATTTTTTAAGTAACATGTTAGTTTCAAATAACATACACATTATTTTTCCTTCAGATGCTAGGCATCTCTTCCAGGGAAGCATCTCTACATTTATGATAATGGGTTCCATTGTGAATAGGTTAAAAAAAAAAAAAAAAAAAAAAAAAAAGACAGCAAATGCAACGTCACAGTTGAATAATAAGTCACATAGTCACGTGGTCTAATGTGAGGTATCCCAGATCTCACGGCAGAAGGAGGGAGAAGATGGCGGAGCCACGGTGTGGCTGAGATTCAGACAGCATGCATCCATGCCACTTGTATTTCACTGCAGAAAGCAAGCCACACACCAATTTTTAGTTCAAAATGCCACTGCCAGGGTGGTGATGTAAGTCATATATATGGACAAACTACTGTGTGCAGATGGTCTGTGTACTTACGCACCACACACAGTGGTATCTTCATCTAGACAGGAATCAGTTACTAAGAAAAGTCTTAACTAGTGTTTGCAGGATGAAATCAGGCCCAGTCATTTTCCATTCCTGACTATGTTCCCTAAGCTTGCCAACCCTGCCTTGTATTCTATTCCAGATCACTGACCCTTGCCAAGTATGTTCCTTGGGCTTCCTCAATATTTATTTATTGATTGATTGATTGATTGACTGACTGATGGTAAGCTCTGGCAAATGGTTGGAGGATGTGAGGAAGGGAGCATTCTGGGTATTTCTCCCTCCTCTCTCTCTGCTTCTGGTAACATCTCTGAGTGTAGCAATCATCAGACTGTGTCTGGGCACCAGCCACCCAGGAGCAATCTTTACCCATGCATTCTAGTCATTGTCTAGCTTTACCCATCTCAAAGCTGTCTAGGGAGGGGGACTTATTTAGAGCACAAATTCATAAATGTGGGGAATTTAATTATTTTTAAGACTCTGGGTTTTATTAGTAGACTTTAAAGAGTTTATTAAAGACATTCAGCATATAATGATCACACCCAAAGAATGATTCATTTAGAAGTTCGTATGCTTTGTATCGACCTTCTATTGATGTCTTTGACAGAATAAAGGAAGCACATTTTTAAATTTGGAAGAGGAGTTGATAGAGACATTGAAGAAAAAAGATTTGATGGCATCCAGACAGAAGAATTTTTTTTTGTTTTTTTTTTTGCAAATAAGCACTGATTGAATGGGCTAGTGACAGCCCCTGAGACAACGGAGTCACATGATGCATCCCCCTGTATTAACAAGGGGATTTTGCTTCAAGGTCTACGGGGAGAGATGCAGAAAGGGCTGGTTTCTAGGGAACAGTTTGTCAGTCCGGACTCAGTGTGTTTCTGGTCTTGCAACAGCAGCTGCTGCTGCTGCTGCCGGCGAAGTGCCGGGGAAGCGTCGTGGAACCAGCACTGCCAAGCAGTTCTTGATGGTGCAGAGGGGCCCCAGGAGAGCTCTCTCCAGTGGCTGTCACCGCAGGGCAGGCTAGAGGTGCTTATGGGAGTCAGACAGTCACTGGGGGCTAGTTGAATAAAAATGACACAGCTAGCCGGGCGGTGGTGGCGCACGCCTTTAATCCCAGCACTCGGGAGGCAGAGCCAGGCGGATCTCTGTGAGTTCGAGGCCAGCCTGGTCTCCAAAGTGAGTTCCAGGAAAGGCGCAAAGCTACACAAAGAAACCCTGTCTCGAAAAACCAAAAAAAAAAAAAAAAAAAAAAATGACACAGCTTCCTAGGAGGGATATTAGCTAAGAAGTGTCGTGGCAATGGGCCTCTCATGATCCTGAGTGTGGACTACAGAGACAGAATGACCTGGATTTCTGTCCCAGTCTAGCCACTTGCTAGCTCTGTAAACTCGAGTACATTATGTAGTTTCTTTGACCCATAGTCTCTGCCTTCATAAAGTGGGGATTATAATGCCTTACTGGACAGCAACAGTACTAAACGGCTTGGTTTATGAAGGCCCTTAATGATGCACAGTTTGGGTGATAATAATAGTTATTTGTATTCCTCTACTTGTAAAATGCTTGTAACGCTGTACCTCCACTTTCCTTCCATGTTACAGGATCTTTTAATGCAGGTTTTTCTCTACATAGCCTAAGTACTTAAAGCCCAGAGAGAATAAAAACAACAAAATCAGCCCTTGTCCTGAATTAGATAACTAGCGAGTAGCAAACATGGACCTATAACATGGTTTCTCAGTATCTATCCTGTGGTCTTTTCTATTCAGTTAGGAATACACATGGCAGCTTGGTGTCCAAGTTCTTCTTTGCCATCTCTTTCTCTAAAACAGTGACAGAGTGTGTTGATATGGGGTCAGAGCAGCATAAAAATGCCACTTACTTTCCTCATATGATTTGAGTCCAGCGCTGCATAGGTCTTGCTCTTCTGACACACCTTAGGCTTAATGCTTTTCTTTCTTGAATTTCACTCATCATTTCCCATCCCTTAAATGGTTTGACATACTGTGGATAACTTTTTTTTTAAATTCACGTAGCACTTCTGAGGATATCAAACACAGGAAAATGAATGCTTAAGGTTATTCCAGGACCTCACTTTGTACAGAAGAAATGAACTTGTGAACACAGATCACAGCACCTTATACACACAAGGGCAACTGAAGACCAGGGTGCACCAGGAACCTCCTACCAGTAGGAGGCAGCATAGCCTGGTGGTTGACAGCATAGGCTCGGGAGTCAGATGCAATCTCTGGGTTCAAGGGTCGGCCTCTCGGTCCTTCAATGTGGGACAATTGTGTAGACCCTGGGATCTCTGCTTCTCTGGTTTCTTCACCCAACATGGAGGGATCATAACTGTATCTGCCTCAGTGGAAGTGTGGGGCTTGATGTAAAAATATTGAAAACATTCAATCTATAAAAATGTTTAGAGGTAGCCAGCCATCTCTCTTTAAATACAGAGCCCAGCAGGATCAGGGCAGGGAGTCTGTGTGAGAGGACACAGTAAGCATTCGACCAAAGCTGTTTCTTATTGCCTGAAGAAGGAGAGGAAACAAAGATTACTCATCACCGAAAAGCTGGAGTTGGAGGTTATTTGTGAAAAAAGATCAAGATCGCCCTTCCTGTCTGCAGCCAAAGTGAAAACCTCATAGCTCTGCCCCATACTCGAATGGTCAGCATCCTCACAAGAGGCTGAGGGACTGACCCTGAGGGTGGGTGATGATTGACTGTCTATGGAGGGCGGCCTTTCTGAGTGGAGCTGATGGCCATGCTTTGGAAGACCCTACCACTTACAACCTGCACTGTCCAGCTGTGGGCCAAACAAAGAACAGTGTATGTGATGTTGGAGATCGGGAGAGCCCGAGATTGCATGTTTCCGCGTGTGGGAAAATGGTTAACTTGGTGAATACTTGATTTCTCTCCTAGCATTCATTCTCATTAAAGGATACACACAGGGCTGAAGTCATGAGGCTAGTGCCCTACCTTGCTGGTTCTATTTCCTGGGATAGGTGAGCTGATCATTTTCCAGTTAGCTCCTAGCCAAGAAGAAAGTTCCCCAGGCTAAAACCAAACACAGGAGCAACAATACCAACAACAAAAAACTCCTCATAGCCAGAATGAAATACAAAGATATTCTGCTTTGCTGTGGTATTCTGAAAAGTGAACTTGTTGGAGAAAGGACATGGTTAATTCTTCAACAGGCTGGCATGCTTGTGAGTTTCAGGGGATCCTGTATGCTCGGAAGGTCTGTGTGACTCAGTCTGTCTCCTTGTATGTGCGTGTGTGTGCAAAAGCACATGTGCATTAATGAGTGTGTTTGTGGGGATGGGGGACTGGCTTAAAGGAGATTGCTGTGGCTCAGACAGGGCAGGAACTCATTTTCGTTTGGAATCAAATGCATTCAAGGCTGGATAAAATGAAAAACTTTATTCAGCATTTTCCGAAAGGAGCCACCGCAGGTCTCCTTTCTCAGCATCTGGGACCACCAATGCCACCTAAGCCACACAGGCTGTGTCCATGCACACACATATGTAATTTTTAATATCCTCATAGGGCCAGACTGGATTTGTTCCATTCAGTGGGAAGCCACAACATTTATTACATCTCTTTCTCAAATAAACCTCAAAGCGAACATTTCATCTTTCCTCGTGTAATCATCATAAGGTAGAAAATGAAATTTTCCAAACCTAAAAGCATGTTGCTAAGAGCTCCGGGGCACTGCATGTCACTTCTTACTTTGATGTGTTCATGGAGGGGGTGGGGGGATGCAGAGAGAGAGAGAGAGAGAGAGAGAGAGAGAGAGAGAGAGAGAGAGGAAAAGAAAGACAGCACAACACCTTCCTTGAGGTTTTCAGAAAGCAGCTTTTTCTTTTCCTTTTCCCTTTTTTTTTTTTAAAACTCCTTATAAGAATATGACAAGATGGAGCTGATTAAAAGAAGACCAGGAAAGTCGGTGTGCCAGACCACTTCAGAAACAAGCATTCCAGAAAGGCAGGCAGGAGCTCCTGTCGGAAGCAGGAATGATTTCACGGCCCCTCTTGCATATTAATGAACTACACGTAACCCCAGCTTAGTGGTGCAGATGCAGCCTTGTGGGAGCTGTGCCAGAGCGCAGCGATAAATACCAGCTCTAGGGGAAATACATTTCATGATAGAATTAGGAGAGCAGCCATCTGAGACGGCCACAGAAACCAGCCCCCTTCCCAGAAGGTAAGATTTCTGGGGAGCTGAGCGCTGGTGGCATATTGAATGTGGGGTGTCCCAGGTCATTTATCTGAATCTGGTTTATGGCTATGAGCTCCATCTTCAACTGTCACACTGCCTATAGCCTCAAGCAACGACGTCATCCACCCAAAGGTCAAACTCAGGTGAACTGATGAATTTTGCTATTTTCCTAGTGTGAACTAAAAAAAAAAAGCTGCTTAACCATATAATCCTCTTCGCTTTTGTAGCATAACAGCCTTTTTTTTTTCCTTGTCTCTTCTCCACCCCCAACTACCTGTCAGGTGCTTTGCTTTTCCATCTTCCTGCAACCTGTGGGAGCATTTTCAGACAGAAGGCAAACTCTTGGCACTTCTCTTCTCTTCCAGCGTTCCTCCAGGATCTGCTCACTTCTCACCTCCTTGTTCACTCATTCCCCTTTGCCCCATCTGCAGAGTACAGCCATCCCTGTCTTCTGTGCTCACCATCTGTTTCCAAAATTCCTAGGATACAGAAATCACATGACAGTTCGAGGTACAGCCATTTCAATATCGCAAGCTTTTGGCAGGGTTTGGGAGCAAGGGCTGTAGGCTCTGCTGGATGAAGCTGACCAGACCACACGGGGAGGGGTGGTGGTGCTGGTGTATGTGTGTGTGTGTGGGGGGGGGGGTGGTGGCGCTAGCCCTCTTGAAGGACCTCTAAAAGCAGCTGTTGACTGTATTACATCTTTCTTCGAGATTGAAAATGGAGAATAATGCCACTGCTTTCATTTTCAGCTGAGACCCATACTAGAATTGCAGCTGGAGAATATAGGGACAGAGCGATGCCGTGCTGTTGGGGAAGAAAACAGCCACTTTGAATGGAATTAGTTGTTCTCCCAGCCAATCCTGGTCACATTAATGCTGTGTGTCAAAACACTCAGCTCTGTCAGCTTAATACAGCTGTGACTCGGTGTTGCTCAGAAGTCCGTGGGTCGTGGGGGCTGGCTGACAGACGGCAGGGCTTCTGGGCTCGCAGGCCTCCACGCTGTAGATTAAGTCCAGGTCCACTTCACATGTCTCTCAGCCTTTTGGACAGGTAGACTAGCTGGCTTGTGCTTTTTGAGTGATGGCAGAAATGGGAGACAGTTAACCCAACTGGGTTTGTGTTCTATATGCTAGCATTCCATTGGCCAAACCAAGTCATACGACCAAGTTCAAAGCCAAAGGTGGAGACAGTTACATCACCAGTTTAACCTCAATTTCAGTATAGGTTAAAAGGTACACTATTCTCATGGATAGAGAGGAAGTAAAGATAATTAAATTTATATCATAAATCCCACCATAGTTGCTATGGCAGACAGATGATACCTACCTAAATGTCTACCCACTTTTTAATTAATTATCTTGATTTTTATCTGGCACCATAGTTACATAGCACTGTTTTAGGAAATCAATGATCTACCATACTCTAGGCCATGGAGATTAGGTTTAAGTTACTAATATAAGCCAGCTGTCTTATTTATGAATTCTACTGCTGTGACAAAACACCATGACCAAAAACAATTTAGGGAGGAAAAGGTTTATTTCAGCTTACAATTCCACATCACAGTCCATCATTGAGGGAGGTCAGGACAGGAACACAAGGTGGAACCTGAAGGCAGGAACTGAAGCAGAAGCCATGGAAGGGTGCTGCTTACTGGCTTGCTCCTCACGGCTCGCTCAGCCTGCTTTCCTAGACAACTCAGGACTGAGGCTGTACCTTTTACCAATGGCCTCTCCAGGCCTCGCAGAGTGCTAAGCCTCAACTGCTCTCTGTAACTGCTTCATGTTTTCAAAACCAGTGCTACCTGAGAGACTCTTACATATTATCAAGTCTGGCCCCTCTGGACCACAGCTTCTGTGTGCTGACTGAGGAAGCATTTCTCAAAAGATTTTACCTCGGGGTTGGGGATTTAGCTCAGTGGTAGAGTGCTTGCCTAGCAAGCACAAGGCCCTGGGTTCGGTCCTCAGCTCTGGAAAAAAGAAAAAAAAAAAACAAACAAAAAGATTTTACCTCAAGGATGCTTGCCTCTTCTTAATCACAACTAATTTCTCAACTTCAGGTAACCTGTGTTGTGCTGGTCTCACAGCCAACTCTTAAGCTTTAGCTGACCAGACACCATAGATTTTTAACAGGTGATGTCACACAAATGGCCCTGGTTTAGTCTGCTTTCCTCTGAAACTTCACAAGCCAGGCTTCCAATGTCTGAATTGCTCTCAGTTCAGTTCCTGCAACATCTCACCAAACTTGGAACACTCAATGATTTTTCTTGTGCCAAGTTCCAAAGTCTTTCCATAATCCTCCCAAAACACATGGTCAAGTCTGTCACAGCAATATTCCACTGCCTAGTACAATTTCTGCATTAGTTAGGGTTTCTATTGCTGTGTAGAACACATGACTAAAAGCAACTTGGGGAGGAAAGCATTTATTTCAGCTTCTGATTCCACACCTTAGTCCATCATTGAAGGAAGTCAGGGAAGGAACTCCAGACAAGAATGTGGAGGCAGAAACTGAAGCAGAAGCCATAGAGGAACACTGCTTACTGGATGGCTCCTCATGGCTTGCTCAGCCTGCTTTCTTATACAACCCAGGACCAGCCCAGGGATAGCAACACTCACATCAATCATTAATCAAGAAAATGCTCAACAAGCTGGTGCTCAAGAAGAGTTGCATCCCTGCTGACTAGTGTTCCTGATACTGGAAGGTTTTCTGCACAATATCAGAGGAGAAAGGTTATCATCAATATCATCTAGCTACAAATCCTGCAGCCTTCCACAGCAACCTGCCCACAGGATACACTGGTATAGTAACGGCACAAATGTTACTGGAATAACCTACCGCTTTTTTTTTATATTAGATTTAAGGCCTGCTCTATGAGCTATAACTCATACCTGACACTGATATAGTGGTAAAAACTTGACACTAAATAGGTCATGTGCCTAGTAGAAAACATACTACTGCTATTCTGCTAAAAGGAACATAGCAGAGAAATGACTCCTAATGACATATCACTATACCCACAGTGCATGTGGATAGGAATTAACACAGAGACTCACAACTGGATAGTGTACAGAGAGTGAGCAACTTTGGAGCACTCAGTCCTAAACGGGATGTCTTTCTCAAACTCTTCCCCTCAAGGATCAGGGGTCTATGTGGAAGAGAAGGTGGAAAGACTGTAAGAATCAGAGGTGATAGATGACTCCTAGGAAACTGTCTTTCAAATGTAACAGGACTGATGCACGTATTACATAACAGAAACTGTGGTAGCAGTCACAAGGCCTGCCCAGGCTCAAGTCAGATGGAGTCCCAGCACTGAGAGGGTGAAATGGACATGGGGTCCCACTCCTAACCAAGAAGCTATTTGAGATTGATGCCTGTTGGCAGAGGTAAAATCCATGTTCTCTAATGGAGTGTCACTGGGTATATTAACCACACTCCAGGGCAGATCTCCTTTCTAGGAGTAGTTGGCCAACACAAGACAGCTCTATGGTTGTATGTGTGTGTGTGTAGAGGGGTTTGCTTTGTTTTGGCATAATTTTTTTTTTTTTGTTATATTGGTTTTGTTTGTTTATTTTGATTTTGATTTTGTGTTTTTATGAGTTTTTTTTTTTTCAGAACAGAGTGTAAGAGGGAGAGAGAAAACAGTTGGGTGGGTAGAGAGGTGGAGAAGATCTGGGAGGAGCTAGGGGAGGGGAAAAACACAATCCAAAATATTATATAAAAAAATTTAATAAAAAAAAGAAAATGCTCAACAGACTTGTCTTCAGGCCAATCTCATAGAGGCATTTTATCAATTGAGAGTCCCTCTTCCCAAAAGACTCTGGCTTATGTCAGGTTGACAAAATAGTAACCAAGACATCAACCCTCTGTTTACAATTACTGGTTAAAAGATAAAAGCACCCTATTATTCAGTGTTCTCCAGAGACACAAAACCAGCAGGATATATGAGAGATTTATTATAGGAATTAGCTCCTGCAATTATGGTGGCTGAGAACCACCCTGGAGACCACATACAGGCTGAAGGCCCTGGGACGTGCATCCCATAGTGCCATCGAAGTTCTAAAGCTCTGAGCCAGGAAGACCACGTGGGTAACTCAGCTTGAGACTAAAGGGTTGAGTACCTGGGAAGGAGCCTGTGACAGCGTCCTGAAGTCCAAAGGCCGGCAAGCCTGGAGTTCTGAGTTCAAGACACCAGGAAACCCCACACCCCAGTGAGAGACACCGATCTGCCTTCTTTTCATTCTGTCTGAGCCCCCAGCCCACTCACACTAGGGACCCAACTTCCTTCCCTAGATCTTTCAGACTCACATGCTACCCTCCTGTGCATGTAGCCATAGTCACACCTGAAAAAACAGTATTCTTCCTCAGGCACCTAGGTATTTCTCAATCCCGTCAAGTTGACTCCTGCACGTGTCAAACATGGCTCCCATTGAGAACAGGGGAGACTCTTGCAAGTGGGACCTGGGAAATGAGCTTGGGCAACCAGCGGATGCTCTGAGTGGCATGGCATATAGATTTCCCTTTGCAGTTGCTGAGGTGTATGTGATGGGTCAGGATGAGACTGGCATCCAAAGGACGGAGAAGAAATAATTATGGGGACATCGATGCACTCTGACCACATAGACCGGGAAGCCCATTCTGCTCCCTCCCGGGTCGTTAGTTCAGTGGACTAACTGTCCTAATTGTGTAATCACAATGTAACCATGTTGGTTAAGTCCCTGCTACCCAGCAGCACATCCATCTCAGGGTCATTCTCCAGCTGAGGTAGTGAAGAGGACTGAGTACCACACCACCCCAGACCCTGATAGAAAGCACAAGCAAGTTCTCCTAGAATTATGATTCTTGGGGTGCTCAAAAGATTAAAATACACTATTTTTTGGTTGTTTGGTGACAGAAGCTTTCAAGCATGTTATTAATTTTGATGACTTTCCTCTTAGAGGGCACCGTATTTCTCCAGGACTCGCCGGTCGCGTCTTTTCCTCACTCCTTTCCATAGCTTCCTTTTTTCTCCTTTCTTTTGGCTCCCTACCTTCACACACTTTTCCAGAACTCTGTTTGCCGTTTCTGGTTTCTCCTCCAGCTGTCTTCTATTCCTGTGTTTCCCTCTTGGTTTTTAGAAAGGACTTGGAAGGACTGGAGCTTTTCAGTCCCAGGGTTCCTGTCTTGTGACAGCTGACGCATGTTCTCAAAAAGCAGTTGTTTCTAAGGGACGCTGGGGTGAGCACGTATCCTGGTTCCGTGACTTTGGACACACTAATCCTTCTGTGTTGCTTTCCGCCTCCATGGAGTTACATTCATTTACGTAATTGCATAGTGACCTTCAGGGTCACTGAGGTGGACTGCGTTCGTCACCTGTGCCACGTGCCTGGGGCCACCTGGACAGATGTGCTAGAGCCTCTTTTCCCTTCCAGCTTCGACACATGCAGATAGAGTTGTAAAGTGCCTGGTGCAGAATAGGCCCTGGACATTAAACACAACATCATTCTAATGTGCTTTGCATAGAAGAGCTGCTGACACCATCGTTTTCTTGTCTTAGCGCTTTCCCCTGTAAACAAGTCTTTTCCTAATTGTTTGAGTAGCTGAAGCATCTCTTGTCCAAACATGGACAGAGAACACAAAGGTGAACCTTTTCGTTCATGGCTGCTGAGCAAATTCTGGGAACACTTCTCCCATGCCCTTAGGCAGATGGTCGGCCCACATATATTTCAACAGCACAAATGAATGTAAAACAGACGCATGCATGTATTAATTAATGCTAATGTATTCATAAGTGATTCAGATAATGGGCAGTCCATTCTGACACTTCTCTTTTAATTCATCTACCCTAAAGAAACTGATTCTTGCTTAATTTTAGATTCTTATAAACGTACCTACTGAGATTTTTGGGACTCCCTAATCTTCTACACTCCCAATGGCCACCTGCTGGCTATCTAAGAATTCGTCCAAGTGGAGAACAAATCTTCTAGACCACAATTTGGTTTGCGGAGAAACATTATCTGTAAACCTGCTTGGCTAAGGTAGTATGAAGGGTCTGGGTGAATTTCTGTTCTGAGGGAGATCAGGTAAAGCCTAAAATCAGAGCAGAGTGACATAAGCTGAGCATCCCCAATGTGAAAATTCAAAATCAGAAATCCGACCCTAAGTCAGTGTTTTGAGCACAGACATGATGCCCCAAGTGGGAATTCTGTAGTTAGTATTACATGACAGGGTGCAGTCAAACCACGGGCTCCTGAAGCGTTTTGTAAAATCGCTTTCAGGCTATGTGAATAAGGTGCTTACGGAACTAAAAGGAACTCCGTGTTTAGACTTGGGTCCTATTCCTCTAAGATAGCTCCTTATGTGTACACACACGGCTCCAAGTCAGAAACACTCATCCCAACCTTTTAGGATAAGGCATATGCAACTTGTACGCTAGAGACGGAGTCACTTGGGGGTGGGAAGAGGGTCTAGAAAGGGCAACCAGGGATACAAAGGGAAGAATGAAGGTTGAGAAAACTGCTGAGCAAAGGTGTGTACATCCCAAAAGAGAGGCCATGTTCTAACGATATATTTTTGTGTTGAGAAGAATGATAGCATTTAAACAAGATTGAACTTCAGGTCCTTTTTCTTGCTGCTATTTTAATATTTAAAATTTTTTATCTTTAATTCTGTGTGTAGGTATGTGCATATGAGTGCAGTGTCTCTGGAGGCCAGAAGAGGGTGCCAGATCACCCAGAGCTGGAGAGTTATAGATGAGCTGATCAATGTGTGTAGGGAGTACTCAGAAACAAATCAGGCTCCTTTGCAGGGTCAGTATGTGCATTTAGCTCCTGAGTCGTCTCTCTAGCCCCTATTGCTACTATTTTTAAAAATCCAAGTTGCTTAAAAGCAAGGTACAGGAGCACCTTATAGAGAGGATTACTTAGTAGTGGAGTCTGAGTACAGAGTGCAGAGAATCATCTGATGTCTGCCTCCATCATTTTACCATCAAACTTGGGTAACTACACAAGGCAGTAGCAAACTCGTGTAACTTGCTCCTCCCTTCTGGTCCTTGTCCTCCCCTCACATATGCCTGCTTGACCTTGTGGCTGCTGGGTTTGCGGGTGTTCTGCGATCCTGTCATCAGGACCTCTTCGGAAGGAAGCAGCTAGAAAGTTCATCCTGAATCTTGAAGACTGTGCTTCCTCCTCACTGTAGGTTTCTATTCTGATTATATAAGATTTTGACGAGAGGGAGGGAAGAAGGGAGGGAGGGGGGGTGAGGGAAGAGATCACACGTCTAACCAATGTATAAAAAATAATTAATGTGGGGAGTGAAGAAGAACATAATGTGGATCTGGCATGGATGCCAAGGGAATGAGTCAATGAGAGGAGAAAAGCCAACAGTTGGCTGTGCTGGGCAGTGCTTGAAATTCTGTCAGAGGCATGTGTTAGAAAGCGGGTTTGCAGTCAGACACACTCCTGCTTCAGTGAGTCGAGTTGTCGGGAGGAAATGGCTGCTGTGGCTGGATCCTCCAAGATGGACCCGAGGTCCCCGGCCTGCTGGTTCTGATGAACTGCCCTGTGTATGTAGAATGTGATCATCTGTATATGTTGCCTCTGAAATTGGGTGATTTAAAAAGACACTCTTCTCCCTCTCAGATACCCTCACTCGGGGTGAAGCTGCCCATCTGGCAAAGGACGCAGGGTTTCTTGCCCCTGAGGTTGGCCCATAGTCACCCGAGAGAGCTCTGGCAGCAGATCTTTCCCCTGTTGAGTCCCGAGATGCCTGCCGCCTGCCTGGCACGTGTTTGCAGGTGAGCTGGGGCCACCTAGCCAGTCTTCCCTTGGATCTCTAACCCCAGCTACAAGGTAACAGATACTTGTTTTCAGTCACTGAGTTTTGAGAGTTTGTGACAGAGCAGTAAAGAATTAATACTGTTGCCCTCTGTCACTTTATGTTTTATTTTCCGCTTGTAAAACTAAAATATGCCTATTGTTAAGACAGAAAAACAAAGAAAAAAACTACCTCAAAATCTGTGAACAGGAGTTTAGTAATATTTCCCACAGAATCAGTGGAGTAAGCTATTTGAAATGTCAAGCAGACTATGTTACTCCCTTATTCAACCATCCAATGATGTCTTGTCTCATTTGGAATATCAGCTAAAATTCTTGCTGTGGCCTCCCAGGCTAAGGTGCTTCCCCTTGCCCACAGGGTGCTGCTCTTTCTCCCACTCACAGGGGTCTCCTCCTGCACCCCCTGCTGCTAATCAAGTCTGTCCCACACGCTCTTGTCTTTGGGTCACGTACTTGCTGTTTTCACGATGACTTGCTGTTTCCCAGAACAACCTCGTGGCTGGCTTCCTTGCCACATTCATCTCTCAGCTGTGGCTTTTGTTCGATTCAAATGTTGCTCCACAGAGATGCCACCCCCGAGCGTCCACCCAAACAGTGCCCTTCACCCACTGGCTCTGCACTTCAGGGATGCCACGCTATTGCTAATTTACAATGTCACTCATGGCCTGCTGCAGCCTTCTCCCATTGGAATGTTGGATGTACAAGTGCAAGGATTTTGTTTCATTTACTGCTATATATCCCTAGCGCAATCAACATGTGTTGAATAAATGCTGTAACTATTCCTTTTATCCCTTTTAATTCTTTTTTCTTTTTTCTTTCCTCCACACGGGCTTTTAGATTTTCAAAGATATTGTAATGTTATAAGAAGAAAATAAAATGTAACTTTAACAGATGAAAACTAAGCTGGGGAGATAGATGGCTCGGTGGGTAGAGGCACCCGCCACCAAGCCCTATGACCCGAGTTTGATTCCCCTAGGACGCACACGGTGGAAGGAGAGAGTCAGCTTCTGTAAGTTGTCCTTTGACCACCTCACGTGCGCTGTGGCATGTGACACCCCTATTCACACAGTAAATAAATGCAATTTAAGAAGGTTTCAATAAAGACACAAACTGCCAAGTCCTCAGACTTTTACAATTCTGTTATTGTTGTTTGGTGTTTTGAAGCTGGGCTCTCACGCCATAGCCCAGGCTGGCCTCAAGCTTGGAGTCTTCCTGCCTGAGTCCCCTCTCTTCTTGAGTGCTGGGATTGCAAGCATGTATCACCACACACGGTTTTTATATTCTGTATAACACTTTACCATGGGAACGTGCATTTGGGGTGGTGGGCCAGCTCGGCTTTCCTAAAGATGGAGAAACTTCAAAGATATCCCAGTGAGTAATGGCCGGAAGAGTGAAGCATTCTCAAAGGAGGTGCTAAGGGTTCATGTGTGGAAAAAGGCACCTCTCTGGAAAAGCTCTTGGCTCATCTCCTCACATCTGCCCCACTTCATTTTAGTCTCCAGGTTGCCCTTGTTGCTGTGTGCTTTTATTTTCCAGGTGCTCTTACCTTTGTTCAATGTAAGGCAATCTAGGTCTTCTGCTCCTTTAGACACAAACATCTCATCCCTAGTCAGTTCATTTTTTCCTGAGGGAAACATTTGAAGATGGGATAGGGCATGGGAAAGTCAAGGGAGCAGCTTGCCCAGAGTTTTCCAGAATCGAGATTATCTAGAAAAGTGTCAGAGAAGAAGTCCCCCAATACTACCGTGTGCATTCTCTAAGGTCTTGACCCACAGAAACATATTTCCTGGCTTCTAATTATTAGATCACTGGTTCCAGAGCTGCTTCAGTGTGAATCTTGATATCTTGAACATACTGTTTTTTAGATTTCATTTAGATATTTTTTAATTTTTTGGGTATGTGTATGGGTGTTTTGCCTGCATGTACATTGACTCACCATGTACATGCAGTGGCCCAGAGGCCAGAAGAGAGTGTTGGATCCCCTTGGAAAGGGAGTTACAGAAGATAGTTAGCTGTGTGGTTGCTGGGAATTGACATCACAGACTCCTGAGAGAGGAGTCGGTACTCTTAACCTCAGAGCTAGCTCTTCACATCCTGAACATCTTTGTATGTTTTTCAGATCTCTATCTATTTCTCTAGGAAGGTATAGTAGGAAACAGAGGGCACACTCAAATGGAGTAACACAAATGATTTTAGAAGTGTGGGCTGCATTAAATGAGACAGTGAACCAAATGATAAGGTAGCTGGAACTCAGGGGACTCAGAAGGGAAGCCGTGGTGGCTACAGGACCTGCCTCCAGATAGAAGCCCTGTGTATGCTGGAGTAATTCAGGTGCTTCAAATGTGTGTCCTCCCGAGGGAGCCAGGGTGCATTAATTCTAGTTCTTCTGGTCCAATCTAAGAGGTCAGGAACCCAAGAAGCCCAGGATGCAGGGAGAAGAAAGGGTGGACACCGTATCTGAGGGATACCCCAAGGGAAGAACTTCTAGAAGTAGCAGTTTTTGGTCAAAGGGTGTGAACAAGCTTAAAATGTTTAATTTTGGGGGCTGGGAAGAAGGCTCAGTGAGTAAAGGCACTTACTGTAGACCTGATAGTGAACCCTGTGACCCATATGGTGGACCCATATGGAGAGAACTGACTCCTTCAGGCCATGCTCTGAGTTTCACTCTGAGTTGTGTGACACGTGCCTTTCACTCCTGAAATGTAAAAAATATGTTTTTTTTTTTTTTAAATCTTAACATCTGTGGTGGGAACTACTTTATGTCCACCAAAATTGTTTCTTCTACCCTATGGCACTCAGAATAGACCCCATGATGATGATGGCCAAAGTCACTGTGGTTTTGTGACAAGCACCTTTGCCCACTGAATCTTGAAGAAATTATGCAAAATGAAATAAACCATGAAATAATTACTAAATCACTGTTGGTAATATGGATTCCGTATTACCGACAGTGATCAAAACCACAGACACAGGAAATATGGTGGAGCTTGGTAGGGTCCTGGAGGTAGGGCAGATGGGAAGTTAGTATTTAGTAAGCATGGGGTTTTAGTTTGGGCTTTGGAAGAGTTCTATGGATGATGGTGATGTGATGCTGTTTGCACAGTCTCCATTTACCCATGTTCTACATGGGAATATTTGTTCTAGTTCCAGCTCTTTGGCTTTTTGAGTGGATGAGCTGGGATGAATGACAGGTAGAGGAATAAGACTGGACTTCCTAAGTCAAAAGATGCTGGATGTGGGGCTGGAGAGACGGCCGGTAGTAAAGAGCACTTACTTCTTCTGCGGAGGACCTGAGTTTGGTTTCTGGCACCGATATCGGTTGCCTCACAGCTGCCTGTAAGTCCAGGTCCATGGGATCCAGCACCTTCTTTTGGCCTCTGTGGGCACCCGCAAATATGCACATGTGTGCACATACACAGACCATACATACAATAAAAATAAAATAAATCTTTAAGAAAGACACTAGATCACAGAAGCCACATTTGGAGTGTGGAAAGATTGTACATCTTCTGGACTTTGAACTGGGCACAGTGTTTGTGGGGAGGGATGTGAAAATCTCTCCAAATTTTCCCTTTTACAGATATTTTTATTAGTTCTGAGAGTTTTGTATGTGCTCACCACTCATTCAACTTCTCCCTCATAAAAACAACAACAAAATCCTAGGCTAGTTCAGTTTGTGCTTCCCAAATATTCTTGGATGTTTTGCTTTCCACTACCAGGGACTACACTCTTGAAGAAAACGGACTTCCACTCTCCTAGTAGCTATCAATTGCCAATAGCTGCCTGGTTATGCATGGAACTTCATGCATAACTTCTCTTCCGTGCGGGGAGTTGGTCTGGCTTCAGTTTACACAGGCTTTGTGTCTCTATTACAACCACTGTGAATTCATGCACACACCTGCTCTGTTGTATCTAAGACACTGTGCTCCTGTAGTCATTCACTGCCTCTGGCTTTTACATTCTTTCTGCCTCTTCTTCCACCATGATCCGTGAGCTTTGAGAGGAGTGGTTGTATTACAGATGTTCCGTTTATGGATGAGAATCCCACAGAATGGGTTAGTTCTTTTTGAGCTGTTGGTCAGTGAGGTTCCATAGACCTCTACAAACGTTACAGGCTATTGCCCATATTCTTGGCTACCCTCTAGAACCTGACACTAATACCCTGTTCCTGAAGACACCACATACTTGAATCATACAACATGAGGCACTCAGACTGGAACTGACCTGAACCTCAGTACTACTGGCTGATTTCATAGCTCTAAAAGGTACTATATGCACAATACCAGAGGAGAAATGTAATCGTTGATCTCACCTGGCTGTGGACCCTGTGAACTATAATAATAACTAGTCTGGCAAGGAATGCCCACTGGTACAGTAATGGCATGGACATCATGGGAGTAACCAACTACTTTCTGATTATATTTAAGCTCTGTTACACAAGCTAAAAACTCATTATTGGGCTAAGAACCTATGGATAGGCAGGAGAGAACCTACTACTATTATGTAGTTAAGAGGTAGTTTTAAAACAACTCCTAGCCGGGCGGTGGTGGTGCACGCCTTTAATCCCAGCACTCGGGAGGCAGATCCAGGCGGATCTCTGTGAGTTCGAGGCCAGCCTGGGCTACCAAGTGAGTTCCAGGAGAGGCGCAAAGCTACACAGAGAAACCCTGTCTCGAAAAAAAAAAAAAAACAACAAAAAAACAAAAAAAAAACAACTCCTAATGAGTTGTTATACCCATAGATAAATGCATCTCTAAATTCTTATCAGAGAAGCTTCTAATTGCAGTAGAGTATATGTAGTAGTTAATGCAGAGATGCATAATTGACCTAGGTGAAGAGAATAAAAGACTGAGGAATGTTCTCCAAGTTTTCTGGAAACTTGGAAAAGGGCAAATGTGTTTTACATATGGCAACATGGATAAAGGACTGTTTAGTGATCGGAAGAGTATGTTATGGTGTGCTCAGCAGTGCTTGATTTTATTCCCGGGGCACACAGGTAGACTACATTTCTCAGCTTTCCATAAAGCTAACAGTGGCTAAGAGATTGAGATTTGGCCAGTGGAGACATAGACAAAGTGGTGATGTGACTTCCAGGCAGGTCTCACACATTCCTTCCACAGGACGCCATTTTAATCCAGAATTAAGGAAGAGACACAGGATCTGAGAGAAACTCGGGGGTCATTTGTGGAGAGCCACACAATCATGAAACAGAGAGGGCTTGGGTTCCGGAATTATACCTGAAGGAAGGGTACCAATCAGGGACAATCTGTGCAAACTGACAGAAGCAAGAACAATGTCTGCCATGATAAGGCACCAGGGGCTGTAGTTGCCTCCCTTGATATGCTATTGTATTATATAAAATATGTGCTGATTGTAGATGATTTGATAAATTCTGAAAGGGAAGTGAAGGGGGAAACTGTTTTTCCACTGCCCGGAGATAACAGCTCTTACTATTGTAGCGGTTCTTTTTTCACTCCCACTTATTTTTGCATAAGAGCATCACAGGCCATGCAATGATGATAATAGGAAGAGAGTTTGGTGATAGAAAATGTTTTACAATCAAAATCTCTAATTGCTTAGGTCATTCATGATGTACTTTACAGTGCATTCCCCCCGCCCCCTTTTTTTTTCAAGATGAATCTCATGCTCTAGTCCAGACTGGCCTCACACATTCTGTGCTCTTCCCACATCTGTCTCCGGGGGCCCGGGATTCCAAGTAGACAGCACGATGCCTGTCTCTGTGTTTGTTTGTTTGCCTACTTGCATACTGGGATCAAAATCAGGGCCTTGAGGGCCTTAAGCATGTCAGACAAGCACTCTAACCAGTGAGCTATATCCCTAACTCTCAATCTATCTATTTATAATTTTAAAAGTATAAATTCTGGGGCAGGAGAGATGATTTAGCGATAATTACATGTACTACTCATATAGAGGTTCTGATTTTGGTTCCCAGCATCCATGTTGGATAGATCACCTGTAACTCCAGCTAGAGGGGATCAGACACATCTGGCTGCCAGGGAAGCTGAACTCACATGTACAACCCCTCATACACACAACTAAAAAAATAATAAAAGCCTGCACAGAAATTCTATCTAGTTGAGACTATTAACATTAGCAGTAAAGTGGACTTTAAGATCATTTTCTAATCCTATTTATGTTCACAAATCTTGTGAAGCAAGGAATTATTTATTATTTAATCCTAACTTTGTAATATGACATTTAACAAACAAAAAAAGTGTAAGAACCACCCACTGAACAAATTGTTCTCTGAAAAAAAAAATGGATGGGTGAATGAAATAGACAAATCTACCTGAGTGCAACCGGAGAGGAAGCTTTAATCGAACATAGCAGGAATGTCTGAAACCTGTGAACAGTTCTATCTTTTTGGGGGGTCTGGGCAGCAGGAAGTAAAGCACAGGCATAAATATGCAAATATAGGTCCTCTCAGAGCAGAGGGAAGAGCATGACTTCAAGACATGTTTCTGTTCCCTGGGAAAGAATAGGAACAGAAGTAAGAAAAGACAGACGAGGAGAGCTGGATACAGGGCCAAACATTCGCCCCACGCTGGAGCATTCACCTGAGGTAAACATAGTCCAGTGGGTTGTAGCAGGAATCTTAGAAGGTCTTATTAATAAAATCAAACCTGAGGCCAGGTATTAGGGTGAATGCTGGAAGATCAGAGAAGCAGAACGAGCCACAGCTACCTCACCTCGCCAGTTCCTCAGCTGATCCTGTTTCCTCAGACTGGAAGCCTCTGAGTCCTCTTCCAGAATGGGTCTCAGCTGAACTGCTGCTCCAAAGCCTGAAAGCTTAACCAGCCAAATGCTTCTAGTTCTTGGTCCTCATGCCTTATATACCTTTCTGCTATCTGCCATCACTCCCTGGGATTAAAGGCTCGCTTCTTGGGATTAAAGGCGTGTGCTACCACTGCCTATCCTCTATGTTTAATATCGTGGCTGTTCTCTTCTCTGACCCCAGATAAGTTTATTAGCTTGCACAATATTTTGGGGAACACAATACCACCACAGTGGGTCCTTGGGTTTGTATGTCAAACGAGAAAGTATGACCTTCAAGCCTGTTTATAACTTGAATCTCCTTTCTAGAATTCCTATTATAAATTAATTTTTCCATTAACTAGAATGCAGACTCATTTTTTTTTTCCAATGGAGCGTGCTTAGTAATCTGAAAATATTTTCTCTATAAAGAAATGGACCCTTTGGGGAAAAAAAAATTCTTAAACTGCTCCTTCTGTAAAACACCAGAATTTAGTTCCCTGAGTTTTACACAGAATATTGTAGTACAATGCGAGGTCAACCTGATAACCTTTTGTTTTGATGATTCCTGTTTTTAATTTTCCCCGCGCTTCCAGCGTTTTCTTCCCTTGAATTTGGAATTCAAAAAGGTTGCCAGTTGCCCAGGCCTGGGTTTGCTGGTTCTCATCAAATGACATGCCGTGAGCTCTTTTAATTTACTCACCGTGTCAATCTCAACTGAGGTGGGTTCCTGCAGTTATCTTAATTAAAGGTCACTGGGGTGAGACTGCCTCACCCCAGTGACCTCCTTCGTTCAGAAACTATGTCTTAGTAAGGTCTGTATCTTTAGCACACAGCAGATGGACAATGATGGGGCTTTGGAAAAGAGGGAACACTAGAATTGTCCACAAACACTTGTAGTAAAGGCAGTCTGTCTAGAGATTACTGTATTACATTGGCTTTCTACTTCTATTTCATTCTTCAGGGCTCCATGCATTTCACAGCTATGCATTTCTTCAGCCAGTAAAACTACAGTGGATTTGATTTAGCCGACAGGACAGTAGAGTGTCGCCAGGCAAGCAGAAGAGAATTCGCTCACTGAGGCTTGCTCTTCCTAAGACTGTCCTGGGAAGATCTGCTAGCCTGTAAGATGATGCAATGCCACCTCGTGCAATGACAAGCCCCTTCAAATTAGGCACATCCCTTCTCTTGAGACCAGACACCCAGGACCACCTTAGACCATGCAGTCCAGTAAGCCTGGCCAGTTCTAAAGCACTTCCCACTGAGGCACAAATGATGAGAAGCAGTTGCTTCAGGTCAGTGAGTGGAGGTGATTTGTTATGGAGCAAAGCGAATCGGCCCAGAAGCAATCAGTCGTTCTCATTTAGAAGGTTGTTTACTAGTTAACTTTTTTCTTCAAGATTTTTATCTTGTTTCTGGAAGACAACAGAGTGATATCTCCTAATTTAAAGTAACAATGTACTTAGCCAAACAAATGATAGAATGTAAGGGAAAATATAGACATTTTGCAATATGGAAAGGCTCAGAATATTTTACTTTCCAGGTACAATTTCTGAGGAATTAATGAAAAACAAAAAGTTCCTAAACAATCCCCCACCAAACAAACAAACAAGCAAATAAGCTGTAAAAATGGTAGATGCAATCTGTCTTAATTTCTTTACCTGTTGCTGTATTAAAATAAGCTAATGAAGCCGGGCGGTGGTGGCGCACGCCTTTAATCCCAGCACTCGGGAGGCAGAGCCAGGCGGATCTCTGTGAGTTCGAGGCCAGCCTGGACTACCAAGTGAGTTCCAGGAAAGGCGCAAAGCTACACAGAGAGACCCTGTCTTGAAAAACCAAAAAAAAAAAAAAAAAAAAAAAAAAAAAATAAGCTAATGAGCATGGCAGTGATGGAACATGCCTTTAATCCAAGCAGAGGCAGGTGGATCTCTGAGTTTGAGGCCAGGCTAGTCTACAGAGTGAGTTCCAAGACAACCAGGGCTACACAGAGAATCTCTATCTTGAAAAACCAACCAACCAACCAACCAATCAACAAACAAACAAACAAACAAAAAAATCTCACCCCCAAAAATGAAAAAAAAAACAAACAAACAAACAATGAAAGCAACTTGAGGTAGAAGGTGTATTTGGCTCACATTTCTAGATTAGAGTCCTTCATGGTGGGGAAGTCAAGGCATCAGGAATGTGAAAAATTGTCCCATTATTTCTGCATTCAGAAGAAAAGAAAAGTGAATGCATGCTTGCTAGTGTTCAGCTTACTTTCCTCGCTCTTCTACAGTCCATCCCAGTGTCCCTTGCCTAGGGAATCGTGCCACCACAGTTGGTGGACAACCAATGTGATCAAGATAATTCCCAAGAATGCCCGGAGACCCATTACCTGGGTAGTTCTAGATTTTTGTCAAATTAGCAATTAAATATAACCATCACACAATCTAAATCTGTTCAGATTGTTAAAATAAAATTCCATTTTTAATCACATGCATATGTATGCACCTGTGTTTAAGTATTTGAACATGAATACAGGTGCCTGTGGAGGCCAGGAGAGGGCGCCAGATGTCCTGATGCCGGAGTTACAGGCAATTGGGAACTGCCCCAAATAGGTCCTGGGAACCAAATCTGGGTGCTCCAAATAGTCAATTCTTGCTTTTAACCATGGCGCCATCTCTTCAGCTCTGCTTGTGATGTATTTTTGATGGGGCTCAGTTTCATACTGACCTTGTATTCACTCCTCTTACTTTGGGGACTTGAAGCCTAAAATCACCTTTCCGAGACTTTACACTCAGCTGGATTCTGATTTGGTTCACACAACGAGAGGATTGTGAATGAAACTAGAAGTAGGTAGAGGGTAGATGGCCTGACCTAGCAGCGGCTTCTGTGGCTTTAGCGCAACTGACAAGTCACAGTGCCAGAACTTCCCATCGTATCTGTGTGAATTACCCTTCCTACAACATCAGGGGGAATGGAGACTTAAAGGCTTCTTGTCAGAAAAGAGGAGTTGGAGTTCAGGAGGTTATGCAAGAGCAGAAGTGTGTCTCTGCATGTACTGTCCCTGGGTCATATCACCTAGTTATCTTGTGTTCATTAGGTCCCTCTGATACTTTGTAATGAATGACTTGAATGGTTCCCTCTCTGCTTTAACTACCTAGAGTGGTTTCTGTTTTCTTGAGTGATGAAATGGAATCAAGGGCTGAGAAATGTTTCAGTCTGCCTTGAAAGCCATTGGTCTACTTTATATGGAAAGTCAATGAGTTCCAAGAACATCTTCCAGAGGAAGAATGGAGCAATTCCTAAGTATTAGGAAGAGGACTCTAGCGAATATAACAAGGAATCACACAGTTCTTCTCTGAGGGAGAAACTATGTCTATACTGCCAGGGAAACATCAAAATATATAGGACTAACAGCCAAAGTATGAAATAAACTAAATTGTGGCATGATGTGAAGACCTTGATGAAGTGTCAGAGATTACACTTGACCTAGATTCTAGGCCTGTTTTATTTTGTATGGTAGAGTAGTCATTTCTTTGCGTCATTCCTGGAAAACAAATGTAACCCTAGCACACTTGGCTCTGCATGAACAAAGAAGCAACTTTACTCATTCATCTCACCTCTGATAGCCAATTAATTAAAAGTGAGGGAAACCTCTCTCCAATGACCATTTCAGAACCTAACGCAAACATGGAGCTGAGAATAGGAGTTGAGATATGGATGGCAGGGTGGACTCTGGGTAGAGCATTCTCATCTAAGCCTGATGACCTGAGTTCCATCTCTGAGACCCACGTGGTGGAAAGAGAGAACCAGCTCATGCGAGTCACCTCTGATCTCCATATGTGTGCCATGGCATGCACACCCGTACCCTTCACAAAATAATAAAATAAAGTAGCCTAAGAAAAAGTATATAGGAAGTAAAATAACAGAAAATTTGATGAAGAAAATAGATATTTGAAGTAAACAAAATTCTTAATTTCCTCAGTGAGGGGGTCAATGAATACTTTCTGAAATCAAAACAACCTTTGTTATTTATAGATTACCCTCATATGCCATTTTCATGTTCAGACACTACTTTGATAAAAGGAGTTTTTCAAAGGCTATGCTGCATCAGGGACTGAAGAGAACCTGATAATGTTCCTGTGTGAAAACCTCACAGGCCAATTTCCTCATTTCGGTAGAAAGAATTACTTGGATCAGATACTTTGAGGTCTCTGATGTAGAATGCTGAGTGTCTGTGAAGGGCAGCATGTTCCTCCATCTCTGTTCTCCCCTAGGCTCACACTCAGGAAGAGCCTTTCAAAATGCCATGTTTTAATCATGGTCAGGCAAGATGATCATATAGTTACCATGGGGGATATTTGTAAAAGACTTCTGGGAAACCTGGGCTCCAGACATCCTATGTTTAAGGTATCTTTATATGTAGTAGGTTTAGTCCATCAGTGTGGACTCTGTACTCTGCCCTTTCCAATTTCAGCACTTCCAAATTCTTGAAGCATAGCTCATTATTGTGAACTCCATCTTCAAATACAGCTACTAACAACAGGGTCCACAAGTAGAAATATGTTCTTTGTGATACAATTGATGGCTTCAGGATAGATATTTATGGGAAACAATATCCCAGTAATGTACACTTAATATGGACTTTATAAGCATTCATGATCTCTATCACTTTTGCTATAGCAATTTACTAGTGGGAAGTTTTCCCCAGCATTTTGGGAACCAAGCACAGAGACACTGGAATGAAGCTTTGTTGAGACTGCTTGATGGGCACTGAACTAGAAAAACATGCATCCATACCCTATGCAGTGAGAACGGGATGCTGCTACCCCCTCCTGCTGATAAAGCCGAACACTCCATATTTGTTCCCTTAGTGATTAGATCATTTTGTACCATATGTCATTTCTTGGTCATCTTTCCCAGCAGATTACATTCCAAGAATATACTTTCCCAAAGAGTGTGAGCTTGTTTGTAGGGTAAAGGGTGTTTGTGAAAGAAAGAAAGAGCAGGCATAGGGATGTTTCATCCTGGGTTGCACCATCACCAACATTTAGGGTTTTCTCCCAATACCTAAGAAGCATTTACTTCAAAGTTATTCTATAGGATTCCTTAAGAATGTCACTGTTGTTTCATGGCAGAAAGAGCGATGGATTCCATACATGGAGGCAGTATGTAACTTTTGGCATGGAAGATGCTTTTGCCTGAGGGAGAGTCAAATCATGATCAGAAGATCCAGTGGACTGGCAGGTGAGCTGGAAATGAGGGGAGGAAGGGAGTTGGCGACTGCAGGCTTTATTCACCCTTTCCAGCCTCTTCTCTCTTTAAAAACGCGCGCACAGATTAACGCTTGCCAGGAGGCTGCTTCCTACCAGAGTTAGGAAGCCACAGACAAAACACTTTGCTTCTCTGTGCCTCAGTTTACCTATCTAAAGAGTTAAGATGCTCCACTTTGTATTTAGAGATCTGAATATTCAGAGCCTTCCTCCTCCACACGCAGACTTCCAACACATAGTCCTCAGACTCATTTCCACCTACTTCTCAGGAAGTCGAGTCCAGCTCCATCACTCAACAATGTTTCTGGCTGCAAGTAACAGGAACCTTGAGGAAAACTGATGGAAACAAAGAAATGTCAGTCATTCTTGCATAATGTGAATTCTAAGGAGAGGCATCTGCAGGCTTCTGAAGTTCAGTGGGTTGGTGAATCAGGCCCGTTGCCTCCCAGTTTCTTATCTGCTCCATTTTGTCAGAGATCCGGCCACCACAGCTAGGAGCAAGCATAAGGGAGGGTTGCTGTGAAAGGGCTGAGGAGCCTGAGGCAACAGAGCTCTGTGTTCTCCTTCTTTAGATGAACTAAAGCTCTCTCCTAACCTCACCATTAGACTCAAACTCAGCTCTCATTGGTTAGAATGATGTCACGTGACCAAGCCTAGGTTCATCCAAAAGGGAACACCGAAAAGCTTAGTCACCATTGTTAGTGAAGTCCAGAAGATTAGTGAAGTCCGCATGCCTGCATAGAAGGCCAGGCTGCTTTGTTTTAGGATTAAGAAAAGTCATATTTTCCAATTGCTTTGTACTGTTCTGTGAAATTTTTCAGACAAGAACCATCTTTTAAAATGGGGCCAAGGGGGGGAAATAGACTGTTGTCTTACTCTCAATCTAACTTTCAGTTCGGTAGATAATTCTCAGTTTATTGCCTGTTTAGCACAAATTCCCAAGTCCCTTCGTAGGCAAACACTCCTGTCCTGATGAGATCAGTCCACAAATAGTGCTGGACGGAGCTGGGGGTCATCCTCCAGTTGTGGTTATGTGGTTTGCTGTGTGGTACTATGGGATTCTACTCCACAGAGTTCAACTTTGCTGAGGAGGCAAGCCAGAGAGAGGCAAGGGACTTTAGTATCCTCTCCAGTGTCTACCACACTTTCCTTTATCCTTCCCATCTACCCTTCCCAGGATTCGCTGCTCTGTCATTGGCCTTTATGAGTTTAAATAAAGTGTCCAAACCACAGAACCAAATCTCCAAAGGCGGAAAGTGGCACAGTTATTAGAGGAGAATGCCTTGGGTTCTGGGCCATGGAGCAGCGTTTTGGAGGAGCGTGAGAGTGGGGCTTGCACTCTCTACACCACTTTGAGGCCGCCTAGGAGAAATGTGTCAGTCATTTCATGGAATGCCAGCTAGCAGGCAAAGAAACAAGCTACAGCTCCACACAAAGGGATCAGCCAACAATTTTGAATCTACAAAGCAAGACAACATAGCCTGCAATGCCCTTATAGATCTTTTGATCCAACTCAAACCCAAACAAATTTGAATAACATGTCATGTGTGTGTGTGTGTGTATGTGTGTGTGTGTGTGTGTGTGTGTGTGTGTGTGTGTGTGTGTGTATGTGTGTGGCAAAATACTTCTTAGTAGTGATAAAACAGGGCAGTGGTAAATGAGAGTTTGGGACATGTTACTTTGGAAGGGAAGTCAGGAGGATGGACCAGGAAGGAGACTGCTGGGAAATAGTCTACATCTGGTATTAGTTTTGTAGGGCTGCCAAAAAAGCATCATGACTCAGTGGCTTAAACAACAGAGCTCTATTGTCTCACAGTTTGGAAGACTGGAAGTTTTAAATCAAGATTGGTTCCTCCGAGGCTATCAGAAGGGGTCAGCTATCAGCTTTCCTTGTGTCTTTTTACCTCATCTTCTGTCTATGTTTGACTCCCTTTATGTTCATTACCCCTTGCTATCAGGACCCTATTCCTATGAGGCTATGTCAGACCCTGTGGTGGTTTGAATGAGAAACCACCCTCCGTTTGATTGCTTGGCCCCTGGTAGATGCAACTGTTTGGGAAAGGATTAGGAGGCGTGGCCTTGTTGAAGAGGGTGTGTTGCTGGGGGTGGGCTTTGATGTTTCCAAAGCTCACAGCAGGCCCAGTCTCACTAGCTTTCTCTGCTTCTGCTTGTGGGTCAGATGTAAGCTCTCAGCTACTACTCCAAGTACCATGCCTACCTGCTGCCATGTGGTCTCCTTGTCATGATGGTCATGGACTCACCCTCTGGAACTGTAAGCAAGCCCTCAATTAGATGCTTTCTTTTATAATTTGCCTTGGTCATGGTATCTCTTCATAGTAATAGAAAAGCAACCAAGGTAGACTATAAGGTAATTATTAGGCTATGACACACCCTAAAGATTAGATCTTACCTTAACTAATTTTATTCATAATGATCTGGTTTTTAAGTATGGTCACATACTGAGGGACTAGATGTTAAGACAATAACACATGGAATTTAGGGGGCACAATTCCAACTGTAACACTAATGTTGAATTATAATTCTGCATTGGCGTAAAGCGTTATAGGCACTGATTTTCCTATTAAAATAAAAGAGGACTGTACTTGGACTAATGCTAATCTCCAACTAAGGAGTAACCCAGTCTATGGAATGGAGTTCTACATGAAAGAGGAAAAAAGAATCCCTGTTCAAACAGACTTGAGTCTCAGTGCAGCTGTTCGAGTGGAGGTGGAATCAAGTCTGAGCTGGGGTTCTGAATTAGGGTGCCTGAATAAATATTGATGAGCAATAGTTTTTGACAGAACAATTTCTTTTTGGCTTGGTGAGCAAGGAAATAATTTGTGTAAGTAGACTTCAAGGCAGAACTGGTTTGCTATATATATAGAGAGAGCTTACCCTGTATAACCAAGGAGGAAATGGTCAAAAATTGTTCAAATTATCTTAATGTCTCTTCTGGGAAAGGTTGTACACAGGAAAAAACCCTGGCTTTATAAACCATCTACAGTCACTAATTCACTAAGTGTGACCTCAGCTAAGATTCAGTTTCCTCATACATAGAATGGGAACGTTAAATTTTACAGGTATGCTGTTTGACGTATATGCCGATTTTGGTTGAAACAAAAATAAAACCACTGGATTGATTGGAGCATAACTTAAAAACCTGATACAATTTTTCAGTTCAAATTTTAGAGTTTTGTCAGTCATCTTTGTTAAACTTTCTTAAAGACAATCAGTTGTCCCCTGAACTTACCAGTGGGAGCAAATCTCCATTTAGAAAGAGACCACAAAGCTGCTTGTATACTTTTTTGAGCAAGGAGAATCCCGTTTATTTCTGGGGAAGAGTGATGATTACGCCTGAGTAGCTGGGCTGGTCCCCTGTTGTCTATTCCAGAAGAATACACCTCACTCATTAAAGAGCGGGAGACTCAGAAAATGCCAGCAAACTCCACATTGAAAATGTTTGCATCCACTTAGTAATTTCTGCATCTTTCAAGGAGAGCCATTTCCTTCCTTTTTATACTGGCAGCTCTGTTTGGCCTGATAACTCAATCAGCCTGAGCTGACTACCTACCTCTTTTTGAGGTGAATGTTTTTGTTTAGATATAAACAGTTAAATCCACATAAAGAGTTGAGATGATTAAAGATTAAAAAGTTCAACACCAACTTTCAAAGAATTTTACAAGCTTCATGAGTATTTTAAAAATACTAGCTGTGGGGTGGTCAGCCCCAGTTTATATAGCTACAACACAATTCCTACATCTAAGATTCGGTAGACCTTGAAGAAAAGGGGGAGGAAAGATCGTGAGAGCCAGAGGATCAGGAAGTCTGTGGTGACGATTGTGTTTTTCTTCTAGATATGACAGGGAAGCTATACTCAAGAAATCTCATCAAGCTGGCGGCCTAAACAAGACCCAAACATGTAAGAGCAGTTGACATCCCAAGGGGATGGAGGGAAATCTTCCAAGACCCCACTGCTAGATGAAGAGCTATAGGCAATTAATAACTGGAGAGAGAGAGAGAGAGAGAGAGAGAGAGAGAGAGAGAGAGAGAGAGAGAGAATATTAGTCTTCCCCAGGGATAAGCTCCTAATTGATTATCCATTACTTGGTCATCAGCTCTAAAATCATATACATTCAGGCAACACTCAGTAGGTTTTATATATGTGTGTATATGTGAGTATATGTCTCTGTGTGTGTGTGTGTGTGTGTGTGTGTGTGTGTGTGTGTGTGTGTGTGTATGTGTGTGTGTGTAGCAATAACAATGAAAGAAAAAGAAGCCATTAATTTGAGAGGGACTGGGGTGGGAGGACATGGGATTAGAGGGAGGAGAGGGACAGGAGGAGATGATGTAATTACATTTAAATTAAATAATAGATGGTATCATCTTGGATGGGGGCATCAAGTGTTTTGCTCACTGCCAGATTGGGGAACTCAGTAAATCCTCATGACTCAATAAGTAGCAGTTTTGACAGAGGCCATTATAGTTTAAAATTAAAGATGACAATATAGCTGTAAGTTATATGTGTTTTTACTTTATATGGTACATTTTATGTTTCTGTATTATTGTGTATGTTATATGTTTTATGCATAACCTACACTGCACACATGCCAGCTCCCCTAGAATGTCTGCCACTGCCTGTTCCTTCCAGTGTACCTCACACAGATTTGCTCAGCATATCAGCGAGGCTTGAGTTGCTTCTAGCTCCATTTGTGTGTCATTCCAGATGTTTCTGCGATGATCAGTTCAGTGTGCTCCAACTATCCTCACACAGGTGATGCCAAGAGCTTCTGGGTCCCAGCCCGTGGCTTCTCAGTTGACACTGAGTCATAGATGAGGGCAGTTCTGCAATTTGCACCCAGCACACACAAGCAGCAACTACCCATTGTAATCTAGAGTGGGCTGCTGAAGCAGAGTGCCATAGACTGGATAGCTTAGAAACAACAGCAACTCATTTCTTACAATTCTGGAGGCTGA